GTGTGATGAATATAATAAATGGTAGGACAAATTACCACATACATTTAAAAAAAATATTTTTTTAGTAAGTTTTGTTCTTTTGAATTTACCAGTAACCAATAAAAAATGGTTCAAAATGCATTCAAAGGTACAGACTAGTTGAACAGAAAAAGCCCATTTACGGACTTCTAGGGCAGACATTGCTTAAAAATAATTATTAGGTGGATAAATCCAAAGATAATATCTTTGGATAAACCGACTTAATTTTCATTGGATCCGAATAGTTTAAAAGTATTTCGACATAAAAGGACGGCTAAAGAAATAAATGGCGACGATAAATTTGTCAATAATATATCAGAAAGAGCCGCAAAAGTTATACATCTAAGTGGAGTGAATTTAATTAAAAGTTGAAAAGTCGCAGCCGTAAAATATAACTTTGGCAAATAAATTTATGACAGTTTATAAGGACGTATCAATGATTCCAGACGACAAATTACTTTTAAACTTTTTAATCAACTTGTCGTTTAACGCTCTTAAGGTTTTAGCCTGCTTAAATCCTACAAATAAAATTATAAACTTCCAGTGAGTTTAATGTTATTAGGGAATAAGTAAACGGCGCCTTTTACACTCGGAAAATTTAAATAATGCACCACCGTGCAATCAGCACGGATAAATTCTAATCATCCGCGGCGCAACAGAGACGGCCGAATAATCGTTTCTTTCGATTCTGCCGTCGCACATAGGGGTATTTACTTTAAAAAGCTGGCCAAAAGTCAATTTTATAGAATAAGTCGCATAATAAAATTGTTATTTACATTGCATAGATAAATGAAGGGAAAGCAATGTTTTAAAGTTTTTTGCACTCCTGCACTACCAGGAAGCTTCCTGCTTAGGCGGAATTCGGGTTCCTCGAAGGGATATTTATTAAATTGAAGAATTCTTTGAAATAACAATTATTTGGACTTGTTTAATAATGTTTTTACTAATCAGTCTAAAGTGGTGCAATATGGATGATGCTATGCCAGGTAAAAACAAAGTATTTTATTACTTTTACCCATGGTAAACTAAGTTATATTATAAAAAACGCTTTTAATAGATATGAAATATTATTGTTTTTTTCCATTGAAATATAAAATATTTGGAGATTTTATAATACTTCCGGGTGCGTCCCGGTTTTTATTTAATTATTATTTCACAAAGAAAGGATTTAACTAAATATTAATAAAATAATTGGTACCGGATTTGTCCGGATTACTGTTTTAAGCTGTTTTTAAGATATAGGCACGTACAATGTTAAGGGAGGATTTAATTACTCAATGCTTACTCTTAACTCAGAAATTACAAAAAAATTGTAGAGAACAAAAGTTCATAAAATAATAATAAATAAATTTTCACTTATACAGGGTATTCGGTTTATCCTGGGACAATGCCAACTTTCCTATTTTTAATAAACACCCTGATATTTTTATTTTTTGGAGTCTACTTACTTTTTTAGGTAAATTTGTTTAATTTATGTAATAAGCAAAATTGTAATTCCTTCTGAGTAAAACTTAAAGTCTCTTTATTATGAACTTTATTTTTATTTTACAAAATATTATACAGGGTATGTTTTTTTAATGCGTAGAAAATGGCGAGTCTGTATTTATACATAAATTATATTACATAGGTACATAAATTACAAAATTGATGTCCTAAATAATATATCATGCTATAACATAGCATGTTATACAATTTTAAACTGTTATAACTTGAAAAATAATTTTCGCCAACTTTTTAGTAGTAATACCCCTATGTGCGTCGCGGCGCTCCGCCGCCGCCCGCGATTCTCTAATTTCAATAAAGGAAGTTTAATTTTAATTCTGTTTGTGGATTACACTCAATTTAGTTTAAATTTGTTTAAAGGTATTTCTAAATCATTTCCTATAGGTACATTATTTAGTTATTCCCATTTTTACGGAAATTATACAGTGTGTATTAAAATGAATAGATCCACTTAAATAAAGCAAGTGCCAAACCCCGCCCACTGTGGTAGGGATTGAATTATTTTCGTTATTTTAGAATTATTTTTGTTTGAGAATTTATAGGATTTATTTTTATCGAATTAGTTTGTTTTGTTTTAATGCATTTCTGCAAATAAAAACTAAGTATTGTTTAAAATCCATTAAATTCCAGTTAATGGCGAAAATGTATTTCTTAAAAACTATACACATTTCCCTACGACAGCGTCGGAGCTACTGAACAAACACAGTAGATCAAACTGCATGCCCTTGTATCTGGCTGCATGCCGCGCTGTTGCCATATGCTATTATTGTTTCCTAAAAGGGTTGTTTTTCTTATTTTTTATTATTAAAAGTAAGAAAATTAACTAAATCAAATTATTTTTGACATATTATTAATTTTTTTGTTATTTTCAAACAAGTAAAATTGAACTATTTATTAAATAATTATAATCGTTCTCTTCTGATTTAAAACAACCTGGCAACTATGGTTCGTAATTACGAATGGCCCAATTAAAGTTTGTTTCTTTTTCTCTGATCAGAATATAATTTGTCATCCTTGTCTCCAGCCTTACTTACTTGATTCTATACAGTCTGTATGTTAAAAAAGATAAAATATTTCTAGGACCTATAGTAGAGCCAAAAATAAGACAAAATGTCATTTGGCGTTTTTCGATCTGACTTGCCCATAATAAGTTATTAATTAGTGCTTAAGCCGAATGATTACTCATAAAGGTGCACCAAACTAAAAATAATGTCAGAAAACTTAACCTAAAAACAAAAACACTAATACTGACAGTGAAAACTACACAATTAAGGTCAATTTACACTACGATAGTTCATAGCTGGGTCATTCCTGGTAAAATCAAGCACAATAACAGAAAAAGTTTTTTCTACGACCACTATGTAAAAGTCACATTTCGTATTGGCATCGTTGCTTAGAACATGAATCTTTTCATTGGCAAGGCAAAACACGAATGTAAAGTGACATTTCTATGTGAAAAGTGACAGGTCTGTGTGAAAAGAAATTGACAGCATCGTTTGACATTCGTTTCATAATTTGTATTGTATTTATATATGTATACATATATAAATACAATACAAATTTTGAAATCTAAATCTAAATGATATTTAGACATATATGTCTAATTATTATTTAAAACACAATTAATTGTGTTTGTATAATAAATTCTAGTTTTTAGTGCCTTTATTTAAATTGAGAAGGGAAGTTTATTGATTTTAAGTAACTTATACCTTAAAAATTAAAATAATATGAAAGAACTTTAACAGCTGTCAAACACCTTTTTAGGTTATTTTGTTTTGTATTTAAATATAATAAAAAATAAAAGGGTCGTAGAAAAAACATTTAGTTTCACTTGTAAGAAAAGCTTTCTTCAAGCTCGTGTTAATGCACTGGCCTGAAGGCCTCGTGAGCAACTTGCATGAAAAAGTCGCTTTTCAACACTTGTAAAACAAATAACTATTTTCGACATGTTTGATCAGGTTCATATGTTTTAAATTGTTATATCTTGTCAAGAGGGTATCGCTAGTATACTATCGATGCTTCTTTAGTGTATTAAAAAATGCAATGTGTTTATTAATTAACAAAAATGCCTCATCAAAAAATACATTGATGGCATTTATGTTATCAAGTTGACACTCTCCTCTCGTCTTTTTGCAATTAAAATGAAAAACTTTATCCTACCAAAAAGTAAGCTACTGATGGACTAGAAACTTTAGGCTAATCTAATTTATTACGTTATGGTTGGTAACAACCAACGTTTCCAGATTCTGTCAAAAAGTTGACAAATTTTGTTTAAATTTAGCTTAATTACAAAATTACAAGATCAACAATAAAAAAATTTAATTTGGCCTTTTTATTAATTGTTTTTTATGTTATTTTTGTAATGAAGGTAAATTCAAACTAAATCTGGCAACTTAAATGACAGAATCTAGTGCATTTCTTTCAAATTTTAGGTTATGTGCTCAAATTGTAAATATCGTAACCAAGTGCTTTTGGATTTATTTACACGAATTGAATGTTTAAAGTTTAACCTGTGAACTTGTCCTAATTTTAAGAAAAAAATCGATGAAAAAATTAATTTTGTGGTTATGGAGTTTTTAAAATAAGTACTAAATTTTGTAATCATTGCTTAAGCTAATAGCTGGTTGAGTAAATATATACAGAAGGGAATTAGAGCTTTAGGGGCATACAACTTTTGTATTTAAAGAGATTTTATTTATTTTTTGCAAGAAAAATTTTAAGTAACATTTTTTTACAACTGGCAATGCGCAGATACTTTGTTGAGTAAAAAGTTACTCACAGAACACAACTATGTAACCAGTGGCATATCACAAAAAAAATATAAAAAAATTCTAATGAATATTTTTTCTTTATCTTTGAAAACATATATTTTTTTAAATTTTTCCATTACACCTTACGTCAAAAAGTATTCATGGTAAAATTTTTAATTTTGATATTCTTTAATAATTATTAATTATAATTTTACAAATGAGCCCACAATTTTTGATGTTAAAAGGAAAATTAAAACCAAGTATTGGAAAATACTTATTAATATCAAGTCACCTAATAATTTTTTTTAAGATTCATTAATTTATTAACAATGCGCGATAACAACATGTCTGCACCGTTTGATTAAAAAACTATTCATAAAAAATTAATAAAAATTCCAAAGGACGTTAAGAAATGAATTCAATTAGCAATAACCGCGGCAACCGCTGGAGAGTACGGTGAACTAAAATAGCAAAAAAATTAACAAAATTCAATTGGCTTAGTGGCGGCGATTTTATAAGGATTTAAATTTGCTATTTAAAGTTAATTAAAAATTAAATTATTTTAAAAACCATGTGATTATGAAATACACAAGTTTTATATATTAATCTTTATTACATTTTTTTAGACTTTAAACAACCTAGATTTTTTATTTTTATCAATTTCAAATTTTTTTTAATACCCATAGTAAAAAGGTAATTTTAAACATTATTTTAGTAAATTTGACTTACTTTTTCTCCTCTTGAATCTTTGTAGGTGACCCATTGGTTGAGACTGGGTCGCCAGTACTCGACCAAAAAGGCTTCAGCGTATTCCTGGCCCTGACCGTTTCCGAAACGGCCCTGGGTCTCGGTCCACGTCATCAGGTGGTTCTTCTGCAGGTCCACCTCGAGGTACTCGCGCACCTCGCTGCTTATCTGCGCCTTGGGGCACCAAGCTCCACCGTTCTTTTCCTGCCTTATCCTGAAACAAAAATGTCATCAGTAAATTGTATTAATAAGTAATTTTGTACCAGTACACTGTTATAAAAATCAGATTTGTTAACATGAGTTTGTAGTTTGTTAATTTTATTTTGTAAAATTTTAAAATAATTTTTTGGAGAAAACCTGAGTATGTAATTATTTTAATAAAGAAAAATATTTTACCGAACTTAAAGATAATATTCAATTTTGTAAGAATTACAGGTTACAGATTATTTTGATAATATTCAACAAATTATTTTGTTGAAAAAGTACACGTGATTTCAGTCAGTCAATCAAAAAATTTCCCACTGACAATACGCAACAATAAGTTCAACTGACCCAATTTCCAACAAATCTTTTGTTACTGGCTCTACAAAAAGGTTTTTAAAAATAAGGTTCTTTTTAAAAATTACAAGAATTATTATTGAATTAGTGATATAGGATTTTTTATAAAATCTACAAAATGTTTGTTATAATTGAGGAGTGATTTTTCAAAAGGACGTATTTCCATTTGCAACAATTTTTCAAAAAAATGACTGTAACCTGTATAGGTTAGGGCAATATAGATTATTTAAAAAAAAATTCTGATGAATATTTAATAATACTTTAGACCTGCTGTCATAATTCGCCGTTAATATATGCCTTTTAACCATACCTTTGGGGATTTGTCAAAAAATTACATATTCAAGTAAAAATGGAAATAAGGCCTTTTGAAAAATCACTCCTCAATTACAAAGTACTTATTGAATTAGTTAACATATTACAGTTGGTTGTAAACTTAACATAAAGTTATGTGGACCTGGACTAACACAAAATCTTGTTATTATTTGGTTAAAATCAACAAATTATTTTGTACTGTGTATTCCACCTCGAGTCAAAGCCTCGAGGCTAGAGATCTCTATGCAAAAATGGCTTGTTTAGTACATCGAAACGCTTTCCGTCCCCTCTCCCGCTTTTTTTAGGATAAAACAAAACAAAAACTGATTAAGGTTAAATGAATTTAGGTCCATAAGTAAAAAAAATTCACATATGCAAGAATTTTTAATTTAAATACTTAAGTAGTGAATTAATGATTTACGAAAATAGTACTTTTTATGTAAATTCTTAATAATTTAAATTTAAGATTAAAAAAGAGTAATTTTTATTAAACTACTTAAGAAGTAAAATTTTAGGTTTAAAGAGTACATGATGACTTATTTTACAACTTAAGAAAATGGTATTCAATATTTAAAATGCATACAACTTTACTAAACTGAATTTATGATTAAGAGTGACATTTCAAGTTTTAAAAGAGTGAAACTACGATCTAATATAAGAGCACTTTTTATTTAAATTATTAGGGATTGAATTTTAATTTAAAAAAAAACAATGAATTTTTATAAAGACAGATTTTACGATTAAAAAAGTTTTAAAAGAGTGAAACTACGATTTAATAAAATAGTACTTTTTATTTAAAAATTAAGGATTAAATTTAAATTAAAAAAATACATTTAACTTTTATAAAGACAGAATTTACGATTGAAAAAAAGAGTACTTTTATTTAAATACTTAAAGAGTGATATTTTAAATCTAAAAAGTACGTATTACCTTTATAAAGAGCGAATTTACGACTTAAGAAAAGAGAACTTTTTATTTAAAACTTAAAGAGTGAAATTTAAAAAAAATTACCTTGTTTTAGTGATTTTTGTTCTTTTTAATTTGTTTTCATTTAAAAAAAGTGTATTTTAGATTTCATATTATTGAGGACGGAATTCACTCTTCTGGTTTAAGAGTGTAGGTACATTATTTTAATGTCTTTAAAGGATTTAAATTTAAAGTGCTAGCACCCTTCCATCGAATTTCTAAAACTTTCTCCCGCTTTTTTTTAGGATAAAACAAAACAAAAACTGATAAAGGTTAAATGAATTTAGGTCCATAATTGCAATAAATGCACATATTATGCAAGAATTTTTAATTTAAGTACCTAAGCAGTGAATTAATGATTTACGAAAATAGTACTTTTTATGTAAATTCTTAATAATTTAAATTTAAGATTAAAAAAGAGTAATTTTTATTAAACTACTTAAGAAGTAAAATTTTAAGTTAAAAAGAGTACATGAGGAGTTATTTTACAACTTAAATACAATATTTAAAATGCATACAACTTTACTAAACTGAATTTATGAATTAGAAAAAGAGTACTTTTATTTGACTACGTAAAGAGTGACATTTTAAGTTTTAAAAGTTCATTTGACATTTATAAAGAGTGAAACTAAGATTTAATGAAAGTGCACTTTTTATTTAAATATTTAAGAATTGAATTTTAATTTAAAAAAAAACAATTAAAGACAGAATTTACGATTAAAAAAAAGAGTACTTTTCTTTAAATACTAAAAGAGTGACATTTCTAGTTTAAAAATTATATATAACCTTTATAAAGTGTCTATCTACGACTTAAGGAAAGAGTACTTTTTATTTAAATAATTAAGGATTAAATTTAATTTAAAAAAATTCATTTAACTTTTATAAAGACAGAATTTACGATTAAAAAAAAACAGGACTTTTATTTAAATACTTAAAGAGTGACATTTCAAATCTAAAAAGTACGTATTACCTTTATAAAGAGCGAATTTACGACTTAAGAAAAGAGAACTTTTTATTTAAAACTTAAGAGTGGAATTTAAAAAAAATTCCCTTGTTTTAGTGATTTTTGTTCTTTTTAATTTGTTTTCATTTCAAAAGGAGAATTTTAGATTTCATATTATTGAGGACGGTTTAAGAGTGTAGTTACATTATTTTAATGTCTTGAATTTTAAGTTAAAAAGAGTAGTTACATGAGGAGTTATTTTACAACTTAAATACAATATTTAAAATGCATACAACTACTAAACTGAATTTATGAATTGGAAAAAGAATACTTTTATTTGACTACGTAAAGAGCAACATTTTAAGTTTTAAAAGTTCATTTGACATTTATAAAGAGTGAAACTAAGATTTAATGAAAGTGCAATTTTTATAATTAAGGATTGAATTTTAATTAAAAAAAATTAACTTTTAGAATTTACGATTAAAAAAAGAGTACTTTTCTTTAAATACTAAAAGAGTGACATTTCTAGTTTAAAAGTATATATAACCTTTATAAAGAGTCTATCTACGACTTAAGGAAAGAGTACTTTTTATTAAATAATTAAGGATTAAATTTAATTTAAAAAAATACATTTAACAGAATTTACGATTGAAAAAAAGAGTACTTTTATTTAAATACTTAAAGAGTGACATTTCAAATCTAAAAAGTACGTATTACCTTTATAAAGAGCGAATTTACGACTTAAGAAAAGAGAACTTTTTATTTAAAACTTTAAGAGTGGAATTTAAAAAAAATTAACTGGTTTTAGTGATTTTTGTTCTTTTTAATTTGTTTTCATTTAAAAAGGAGTATTTTAGATTTCATATTATTGAGGACGGATTTCACTCTTCTGGTTTAAGAGTGTAGTTACATTATTTTAATGTCTTTAAAAGATTAAAATTTAAAGGGCTAGCACCCTTCCTTCGAAATTCTAAAAGTGTGAGACTTGGTTTCACACAAAATACGTATCCAAGGTGCGTGCCTTAAAATAACAATTTTGGATCCTTTGGTAATCAAAGTTTTGCGTTCAAAGTCGAAAGTCTCTAGAAGATTTGTCATTTTTCTTGTTCGTGGTTAATAACTTCTCGAGGGGGAGCATTCAGCTTCCGATTTCCTGAAGCGGGAAGTATTACTTTTTGGTCTACCCCTCGTCTATTATATGTTGGGGAATTTCTTGAAGGAAATACCTCGAGCACGGCACATATCCTACTTCGGGACGTAAACGCAATAAGTGGGGAATGTTATGCGGGAAAACAGCGCAATGGGGGGGCGAATCCTGTCAATTTGTCAGCTGCCTTCGTCTGCTGCTGTCTGCATGCATTCGGCAAGAAAGTCGCTGCTCCCTTATCAAATTTCAATTTTGGAATTTTTAAACCGCACGCGTACGCGCCGATCGAGTTTTGCAGTTCAATAAACCTGGCGTGAATTCGAATATGCAAAACCGATAACAACACAATAAAGTGGAAATTGAATAAGACGCACACCTTTAAGCTTTATTACGCGGTTTATCATGGTTTTGAATTACCTATTTCATATTTCCATTTGGCTATGCAATACTTATAAGTAAGCAACCATGAAAATGATGGAAATTGGTATGGGGTAAGTGATTTGTTGAGTTTTATAAATAAACTACACAGTACAAAAATATTTGTTAATTTTAACCTAATATTAACCAGATTTTATGTTAATCCAGGTCTACATAACTTTATGTTGAATTTACAACCAACTGCAATCTGTTAACTAATTGAATACGTACACTGAAAAAAATAAGCTGTTGAAACAACAAAAAAAATATTAATTTAACTCTTTATGCATGTGCATGCACTTTAAATACAAGCAATGGTTTTTGCACGTTTACTTAACCATCTAAAAATGTCAAATTGTATTGTTTAATTGAACAACAAATATTAGTCAAATCAACAAAATGAGAATATTTGTTCTAAACATTTTTAAAATGACATTAAGGCAAACCTTAACTCAACTACATTATTTTTTTCGGTGTAGTTTGTAATTAAGGAGCATCCGTGCAAAACCGGCTATATCCATTTTATTCAGTTTTTGGTTTTTTTTCTGATTTCGCATCTTTGGGTTCATTTCTATCGACAACCAAGATAATTCTGTTTAAATCCGACTATATCCATATGTTACAATCACATTTAAAAGGTAGCTTTAGGAGCAAAACCGGCCAAATCCACGTTTTTATAGCAAACCCGGCTATATCCAATAAATATTAATGATGATGAGCATGTGGCTTGGATATGTCGATACTACTACTAAAATTTGTTCTGTTTTTTCATGTTTGCACTAAATTTATTTTGTTAATATTTTTGAATAATAAAGGTTTTTTTTCACATTTTATTCGGTTTTTGAGCAAAACCGGCTATATTGAAAACATT